TTACAAAGTACGAGTCCTTCATTCCCTAGAGATTTTGTTAAACACAGTGAGAATGGCTTTATGAGTAAGACAGTAACAACTTTTAAAGTTAAAAAAAAACACACTTTTCTAACGAGGCGTTGATAATTGAGTTCTCATAGTAGTTCTAGCAGTATAAGTTTAAGGGCGTAGTTCATATTAATAAATGCAATAAAGGCTAGCAATGAAAGAACCCTCTTGAAAAGATAAAGGTCTAGTAATATTGTCGTAAAGGATACTCTTTGTTTAGATGGACCCGCTTGTAAAACATTTATACCGTAATTGAAAGGAGTGTCAAGAAAAAAAAAATTTATAATATAAAAATATCTTATAAACTTTTCGTTTTAATTTCCAGCGGTTGCCTACATAATAAACGGTTCATATAATAAGAAACACTCTTGTCCTACGGATATATAAGGCTGAGCGTTAACCAGGGTCGGCGGTTTAACGCACTTTATAAAACCTCTATATCGAGTCTTCCTGCTTGTTTGCTTTTAGTAACTGCCTTCCTCTGCATTATTTATAAACTAAAAGTTAACTTTGAATGTTTAATTCTTGACTTTTTTTAATCCCTTATTAAATAATAGTGCTTGACTTTACCTATAATAATGAATGACTTAAAATCAGTTGTTACTCAGTTACGATCTCTAGCGTCTGTCAAAGATAATAGAGCACTTATAATCAAAGATGAACATTGCATACCTAGTTTAATAACTTTTCTTAATAATGAAGAAGAAGACTTGGTTTTCACTGCTCTAGAGGTTTTATTTATTTTTTGGAGTTTAGAATTAGTTTTTATATAATAAAGATTGATACCTCTATTTATTGTAATTAAAACTTTTGTTATATAGACTTTTAGATATCTTAGTGAAGAGGTCGAAGTTAAAGAACTTCTTCTTAAAAATAAAAATTTTGTTTTTGGTATAATGCGTCTTTTAGAAAGTGTTCGCACTTCTCCACGTAACAAAGCTGTGGCAGCCTCTATTTTCCGTCAATTTTCTAATCAAAAGCTCTCGTCTAATACACAAAACTACAAAAGCCAGCCTTCACAGAATAATAACCCGCCGAAAAAAGTTGTAGTTGGGAATGGTAATTTACTAATTCTAGTGAAGAAAATAATATTCAGAAAAGCAACATTAATAGCGATCTTAGTGAACAGTTTTAGACTGCACACACACCAACAAGTGGACGCCCACCTGTAGAGGCTTCTTAATAGAGAAATTGCTTGTATCATTCTATTTCATTCACTTGAGGACTCTTTATGTTAGGATAACTACTATTTGACTTCGCTACGACTGCAAAAGTCAAAGCAGTTGAATAGTTTAAACATAAAGCTTCTTTCGAGTAAAGGTCATTTTTACATAAATAGGGGTAAATGTTATGAAATTCTAACTTCGCTCTGTTGACGCGGTAATAAAACTTATGGTGCCACGAAAGTTGTTTGTCGAATGAAACTGCCAAATATTTGATTATAGCGCGTAAAGAGACGTATTGGCTACAAAGCATAAAGAATTTCGGTATACGAAATAAGCTTTGCTCTTAAGTGTGTCGTTTGCAGCTGGTCGCCATTCAGGCTATGACTCAAGTGCAGTAAAATACGTTCGCACGTGTTTTTCAGAGCAAGCAGGATTAGTCGTATTATCCCCAAACTGTGACAAAAAGTTAGAGTATTGGTAGGGCTTGTTCAACACCTATAATGCTAATAGGATTGGAGGTAGCCGTAAGCCAAGTGAAACGGCCGTTATCCAATTACACAATAACCCTGGTATACCACGAATACTCTCTACAAATTTTCGCAAACGCTCAAGAAGAACTGCTTCTGATTTTTTGAGAATACAGAAAAAAAGACAAAACGGTGGCCCATTAGATTTAGAGGAAAAAATACTTCGATTTAGGGATGCACACGATCGCAGCTCTATTCATACAAATTTAGGACTCTGCTAATAGGTAAGCTAAGAGGTCTTTATCATTTTTTCCTTTTATTGTAATAATTTTTGACTTAAATACTATTTACAGTTTTTTTATCAATGGTTTTATGTCATTAATTTTTAAATTTATTAATACTATTAAATTATGATTTATTAATTAAAAAAATTTTAATAGTGAATGACATATATAAAGATTAATGTAAAATTATAACAAGGGAATTTAAAAAAGTAGAGTTAAATTATACAATGTGTTTAGTTTACCATAAGTTAAACCTTGGTGGTCAATAAAAGATTTTAGAACAGAAAATTTTATTAAGGGCAGGACGGTAGCCCACACCCCCTCCAAGGACCAAACCAGGTGGACTGCTTCGTGACCCCTTTACGGGGGCGCATTAATATAATTCTCTTCCGAAGGGTAAGTTAATAAGTCGATAATCTTTCTATTGGTCATAAGCTTGCAAGCCTTGCATATAAAAGGCGAGACGTTATAAATTAGATGATTAAAGTGTAAACCTATATCCCTACTAGAATATCACATAATACCTTTTAATTGAAAAAATTAAGCTTGTATATTCCGAGTTTTCTTGATACCTCTGCTGGTGGGTCCATGGAAAAGCAAATTTTTAATTCTTTCACAACACCGCCAAAAATTATATTCTTATTATTTATTAAGTTGTTTAAATGGGAGACACTATTCTAAATTAAACAATACTTAAAGTTTTGCGAGGACACATTAGGGCTCAAAATCTTTTAAACCATTACTTTGGTTGTTGAAAATGTCTTCCTAACATATTTACTCACTGTTAACTGTCTGACAGTCGACTGTGTTAATCGTTCCGATTATAAATTATTTATATTTATAGCATCGCCCGGTAAGACTAATAATGAAGAAGGGAGAAAAAAATTATTGCCTATTTTTTAAATTTTAAAGAATTACAGATCTATACTTAGGCGAGTTAACCATGAGATCGTAACTGTTCTTACACAAAATGACTACATTTTTAATTTCTCCATCAAGTTTAAGATAATGTTTGAATAGGGATTTTTTAAGTTCATATTTTAGAACGCCTCGCCGAAATAAAGTTAATATTAAATTTTATGTTGTCATTTATTGCATGTACGCTAATTGAGCGTTTTTCTGACAGTAACGTTTGCACTTTAAAAACGCCAAAAGGTTTAAAGATTAAGGTAGGTAAGAAAATAAAGTGAAGCAGCTTATTTGGATAGTAAAAGAAGAGCTAAAACATTATTAGATATGTATTACCTATATATATTTGTGAAAGTTTAATTAGTAAGCATTTAGTATCCGCGTACACATAACGTAAATTTTTAGTGCTCCATACAAAATCATTGAGAATTTATCACCTACTCACCCTGAAAGTCAGAAACCAAGCAGGAGGATACATCTGTCCTTAAGAGGGACTGTTAGTAATTTTTATTAAATCTAGTAATAGGAGGTGCTTTTTTCCTATTGTTACCGTTTTTGCTTATACCATCATTAATTATATGAGCCAGTATACATTTTTAGCAAAGCGAAAGGGACTACTTGACCATGACGCATATTAAATTAGACCTTAATTGGTTGGTCATATCAAAACAACTGCCGATGAATGGTTTTTTCAATCATAAAGTCATTTTGGTTGGAGATTAATGTATATTATTATCTATTTATTTATCAAAATTGTTATCTATTTCCGCGGTTGTAGCCTAATAATTGTTACATTAACTGCGAGGGTAACTTGAGTTAAGCTTTTAGCAAACAGGTGCCAGGGTTAATTATCCCACTCAAATGTTAACTTCAGCTTAGGGAATATGAAATCAGTTATGACGGTAGCAAGTCCTAACAAAAAGTTCAGTAAGATCTAATTATGTTATAAAGTAATTATTTATGCCTTTTATTTTATGCCTTTTACTTGATTATTCTGCTTACTTTTGCATCTAAGTATAATGTGCACTATAATAACTATTCTTAGCCAAAAGCAACTAAAAAAAAGAACATATTATTCGCAAGTTTGTATAAAGGAGCCCCTGACTTGTTTAATTTTTATTTTAGATCTACATAACAATTTCTGAAAAAGTTATGCTACCTTATAGACTTCTAGGAAAAACATTTTTATAACTTAGGATTGTAGAATAGTGCATAAGTGTGTAAGAGCAGCATTGAGATAGTTTCAATTGGAGGGTCAGAGTTCTAACTACTTTTGAAAAAATTTTTCTGATTCCCCTTTTAAGCCACTAAGATTTCAATTTTATTTATAATTTTTATCTTTTTACCACACAACTCTATTAAAAATATGTAAATATAAGTTTTTTCACCAAATTCAACTTTTAACTAAATTTACTTATTAAAAGTATTCAATGAGGAGGTTTCAGTATAATTTTCAAGGGTATGCATAAAAATTAATTAGGGACTAGCAACAACAGTTACAAAATTTAGTTGGTTGTTGGATAAAAATTTTTGTTGGTGTTATAATATTAGTTATAACTACTTTATGGGCGGCAGAGATAATTTATAATAAAAATGGCAAAATTTTTAAACTTCCAAAGTAAGGTAAGTAGTAAAACTTGCCAGCTAGCAGTCCGAAATGTTTCTGTTATATTAAAAGCTGTTCTCTTGCCCTTAATTTAGCCGCAAAATCTTTGAATGATGCATGGATATATGTAAGAGCCTCAAAAACCATTCTATAAATTCAAAAAAAATTCAAATTTACTTAAACTTGAACGCATTTTTGTATGAATTTAAGAATAGCTATAAGTTCAAGGAGGGAGAACATAAAAGTACGAATTACGAGGAGGCGGAGTGCTTATGCCCATATATGATGAGACTACCCGGAGATTGCCAAATCAGTTTAAGATTTTTAACCAAGCACCACTTCTCAGCGTTTGGGTTAGTTGGTTAGTTTTACTTTGGGCGGTTCTTCGTCGATTTTTTTAGCGTCTCTATACTTCGTCCTTGCGAATTGTAGACAGTAAAGTAGATTATATAAAATTTTAACCTAATTAATATTATATACTTAAAATCCAGGGTTTTTCGCTTATTCATTCATATCCGTTAATAAATAAAATTTTTATAACCTCAAAAATGAGTGAAGCTGCTAGTGATGCATATGATTACCTTTTTAAGAGTAACCTTTAAATAATTATAGTAATTGTTTGTATTTTTAATTTTTGTGTTATAAAATAAAGTCGTAATGATCGGTGATTCCGGAGTAGGAAAATCTAATTTACTCTCGCGTTTTACCAAAAACGAATTTAACTTGGAATCCAAATCAACTATAGGTAGATAACTTCTTTTATATATTCAAGTTTTATTTGTTAATATTTCTTTTATGAATAATTTTTTTTTTCTTACCAAATATTTTGTTATAGGGGTCGAATTTGCCACTCGCACTATTGAGGTTGAAGGCAAAGTCATTAAAGCTCAAATTTGGGACACTGGTGATATGCCTTTAAACCTAATCACTAAAAATTTTCTATCTTTGATGTAGTTATAAGCTAACTGTAACTTTTGTTTTGTATTAAAAATAGGCTTAAATCTGTTTCTAATTAAATTTTCATTGTGATTTAGTACATTACTTCATTTGTTAACTGTAACATATTTTGTAAGACACAAGCTTATTACTATTTTTTAAATTAATTTAATTTAATTTTTAAAATGAAAATTTTACTTTAATGCCCAGCCGTAACTTTTGTTTTATATGAAAGGTTAAGATTATCTCTTTTTCTAATATGCTAAGATTTATATTTATTTTTTTAAATCCGCAGCGGGGCAAGAGAGATATCGAGCGATTACTAGTGCTTACTATCGAGGCGCCGTTGGAGCCCTTCTTGTTTATGATATCGCAAAAAGAGAAACTTTTGAAAATATAAGTAAATTGTTTATAACTAGTTAATTTTTATTTAAATTATTGTTTAATAGTTATAAATTTTATGTTTTATATAAATTTATATTAATTATAATATTAGTAAAAACTTAATGTATATAAAAAAAACTTTAAAAAAAAATTAAAACCTCTATTATACATTATTTTATTTATTTAAATATAAAAAATTTAAAAAATTTAAAAAATTTAATTTAATGTTAGAAGTCATAATTTTTTTACTTTTTTATAATCTTTTTTAGGATCTTTTGTATGTATAACAATTTTAAATGTGCTTTATCATTTAAAATAATCTCACAACTTCTTGATAAATTTTTAATAAATTTTTAAATTTAAATTTGTTCATATATTTGTCCCACAGAATCTTTTTATTTACATCTACATGTTTCAAGTATTTTTATTTTTTATAATATGAAGTAAATAGGGGAAAATAAAGAAAAGTTATTATAATAAATGGAAATAATGAATACTAACCAAATAAAAGAAATAAGTGAATTATTGACAAAAAGTAATTTTATCTGAGAATTTTAGTATATATAAACAGTAATATAAAAAATAGAAAGTAAATAACTTATGTTAACACGTTTTTTTAAAAAAAAAAATTATATATTTTTATAAATTAGCAATTATTAATAGGATTTAATAATTATGAATGAGAAAACAATTCACGTTTAGCAGTTTTAGCAATAAATTTTTAATTTTTTTTAATTAATAAAAAAAGAGGTTTTAGCCTAAGATAATGTGTTAAGTTATAAAAATGAAAGCACTAAATTCGCTTTAGTAATAAAATACGATAACAAGTAAATTATTGTAATAATGAATAAATATTAAAAAACAGCGAACCAATATATGGGGTTAAAACACTTTATTAATTTTATATAAAGTTTCAAGCAATATATTATAATACTTAAGTTTATAAAGTACTACATTTTTAAGTCTACGTTATAAATAAACTTCATTACATAAATACTTAAGTTAATACTTTGCAAAGTAAATAATAAAAAGTATATATTCTCTATAAATTTATATTTTTTTATGTTTATTTTTCTTTTTATAATTATAAAATTTATAAACAATTATTAATATATTAAAGAAATGAATTTATTATATTCAGCCTATATAATATTTTTATTATTCTAGTAAAAAAAAATTTATTTGAAATTTTTTTTTATATTTATTTTTCAATATGAAATGGTTTATATTTGTATATTTTTATTTTTGAAATATTTAAATTTTGCATTTTGTAATTATCATCTTTACTGTAATACATTAAAGTTAATAATACTGCTAGTATATCGTTTATTGTGTTAAAAATTTTATCTTAATAAATTTTACTTTCTTACATATAGTTCCTTATTCATCATCTATATTACTTAAATAAATATATAATAGCTTCTTATAATATTTATCTAGAAACTCGTACTACTTTTTATAATAAGTTTTTAATATATATATTATTTATGTTTATTTATTTTCTTTATAGAGTTGTACAGTTTTTGTTCAGCAATTTATATATTTATTATGAATTTCATATTTTTATTCATGAATTTTGAACATATTTAGTTTTTTTGAAGTTTAATATTTTTTTTAACATTTATATAAATTATTTTATTTTAAAACTTTAGTTATAGTATTTAATAGTATAAAAAATATTAGTATCAACTATAATGTTTTGTAACTTCTAAAGTTGAAAGAAATTTTTATTGTTATTCATTTTTTTTAGATTATTATTTAATATTTAAAATTAAATATATAAAATGTTTATTTGAAATAATTAACTTTTTTATAATAATATTATAGTACTTTTACTGGACTGTACTCTACTCTATATTTTAAAAATTTTATTAATGATAAGAATAATTTCTTTTTACCTTGAAAATTTCCAGCAGTAATAACTATGATTTAAATTTAGAAACTTTTTTAATAGTAAAAGTTTGTTTAAATTATTATTTTTGCTCTTTACTTATTTTTATATAATTCTTCTTGAATTCTTGATAATTATTTATATATATTAACTCATTTGAATTTTTAAAAGTTTAATAATAATTAGTATTCTTTGATGGCATCACTATTCATACTGAACCGTTTATAAGTTTTTGATTATTTATTATATTTTTTAGTGTTATTATTTTATTATTTGTTATTATTATTAAAGTACTATATTGTAATACACAAAATCTAGTTTCTACTGAAAATAATATTTTGTCTTGTATACTTGAGGTCTTGAATAGGTTTTTTTTTCGCTGGATTCATATAAAATAACTTCATTAAAAAAACTTGCACCTTTTTACTATAAAGAAGTCAAAGTTATTACATTGCTATTATTAACTTTATTTTCACATTAGTTTAAATGATTAATAATAACCATATTATATATCTTCTAAACTATTTACTATATTATAATAAAGAATGTAAATATTAATATCTTTAACATTATATGCAAACGTAAAGTTTTATAATATAATAATACATAACACTTTTACTTTATAATACCGAAAGTTTTATTGAGATATACTATAAATACTTTTCTTAGCTTTTACTTAATAATAGTATTGGCATCAATAATTAAAAGATTTATATAAGTCTTTTAAACTTTTCCCTTATCAATCTAATAGTAATAAGTTCACGTTGACGTATTATTTATTTTTAAGTTTTATCATTTTATAATATTATAAATAACATTATTAACGTTTATTAATAATCTTTACAAACTTTTCCTTAAGATAATAGCCTTAAAATATTACTTAAAATTTTTTACTCTATAAATCCGGAAGTTTTTTGAACTTTGCCTCATTTTAAAAAGAAATTTATTTTTCTGAGTAATCTACTTTAAAACCTTTAAGGAAAGTGGCTTAAAGAACTGAAAAGCCACGCTGAGGAAAACATTGTAGTGACGATCGTGGGAAACAAGTCAGACCTGAGGCACTTGCGAGCTGTTACCACCGATGAGGCCCACGAATTTGCAGGTTTTTTATAAGAATAAGTATAAGATTGATATATTTAAGTACAAATAATATTATAAAGGAGGATTAATTATACAACAAAAAATGTTTAAAAGCTGTAAAATTATATATGTGGTAAAGGATCTAAGTGGGAAGTTTATCATAAGTGCTAATAATTTATTAGTAACTGAAGCGTTTTACTCTTTTATTTTATAAAAAAATAAAACAAATTTCAAAATTTTAAAAAATATGCTTAAGTAGTTTACATTTTGTTTATAAAAAAATTAAAATTATCGGGAGTTTATATAGATTATTATAGAATAGTGATTATAAATATAAAACTAAAGTGTTATAATATGAAATTTAAATAAAGTTTGATAAGAGCTTTTGGTGTATTTTTTATTTATTTTCTTTATAATTTTTATACAAATATATTCTTTGCATGCGGGTTTATTAATTAATAATTTAAGTTTTATTAATTTATAAGTTCTTACGGATAATTTGTTTTATAGATATAATAAAAACTGAAGTATTCTGGCAATCATATATATAATTATAATAAGTTTATAAGGATTAAATAAAATACTTCTTTTAGTAAATGAAGAGTAATGCTAGTATTATTAAAAAAATAAATCTATTATCTTATAATAATTATTTAAGGGTAAATGTATCTAATAAAACCTAAAAATTTAATATATGTTGAGTCTAGCAAAAGTTTCATGAACTCGGTAAAATTATTGTAGCCTTAAAAAAATGTCTAGTATTATAATTGGTTCTGTTAAAGCGCATGAGACCATCTTAAACCAATTAAAAAGTATATGAGCAATATTAACTTTATTTATAAGTTTACGTTATTATTTATATTTAAAAAAGTAGAAGTTCTACATGTCATTATGACTGAAATCTATTTTGTAATGAAAATTTTTAATTTTATTAAAAGGAATCATAAGGTATAGTTGTATAATATTTACAACTATAGCATCCGTTATAAGATTTGTCCAGTTTAATAAAAAATATGCATAAAACATAAAATAGAATATTACTTGAATAGAAGTTAAATAATTTTATAAGAAAAAACGTAACTTTGCGTCTTCTTACCGGTTGGTGCATTACTTTACTTAGCCCAGTCAAATACCAAGGGGAACCACTCAATGGAAAAAGGCTATTTTCTATAAGTCACTGCTATAACGCTTTCTGCTAGAAATTTTTAAAAGGTAGTTAAAAAAATCAATAAAGTGCAAAGATTTCTAGTAGAGTGTTTATTAAGCAATGCTGTTAGACAAAGTGGCCTTTCTTACTATTTAGAAAACACTTTATAAACTGTTTCCTACACTTATAAGCTATATTTTAAAAGTTCAATTCCAAAACTATTAAAGAAGAAAAACTTTCAAGCTTACTTTCGTAAGAGTTTTAGAGCCATAAAATCGTCTTAAGCTATTAGATGATCGCATAAGCAGCTTCTTTAAAAAAAAGTCTTTTAAAAGAACTGTCTTTGTACATTACTCAGTTTTAAATATTAGTTTGATAAAGCATTACGCAAACTTCAATTGTTTTACTCAATACAATATTTAGAAAAAGAATCCCTCTCTTTTATAGAAACTTCTGCTTTGGATTCTTCTAATGTTGAAACAGCTTTTATAAATAACTTGACGGGTACTGCTACTCTTCCCTGTGTACCTTTGATGTTGCCTTGATTCTACTGTCCACAGAAACGTGCCGAATGGTGACACAGAAGGCGCTTACCTCTAAAAGTATTGACGAAGGTCCCTTGCAGACGGCCCCCGTTTTTGTTTCTTCTTCTTCCCAGGGAAACAAAAGCAGTTGTTGTTAGAATAAAAGTCAATGTGTTGTTACTTTTTAAAACTGTTTTTAGATTAAGAAAAAACTGCTAAATTGGATTATTTTCAAACTTTTATAATGAAAATTTTTTATGTGCCTCGAACTTTAAGTATACTTGAGCAGAGAACATATAATAGAGAATTATAAGGTATTACGTAAAGTTGCTTCTCTAACTTCGGAGTTTAGCAACGTGTAGGGAGACTGAAGTAAAACGGTGTAATACTCCGCAGAACTTACCTACTTAAACTTATTAGTTAGTAGCACATAAAGTGGGCATTTATTCTATCATCTTCAACCATAATTAGGCGAGGATATGTTTGTAACAGTTATTAAAATACTAATTATTATTTCTCAATACTAATTTATAGGAACGTATTATTCTATTTAGTGCCTGTGCATTAAAAACATCGCACTTTTTATTTGGTCGAATTTCCATTTGAAGTAGGCTTTTAATACACCAAAAAGTTGCAGAGGTGTTTGTTAAACCCCCAATTGCGAAATTCTCAAGAGTCTTCTGTAACGCCTTATAACAAAAAATTTGATATAAAAAGAAACGGAAAGTTAATCGAACTATTTTGCAACTGTACACAAAAGACGCAGACGAGAGAGACTGGGCGTGGAGTACTTCATATAATGCTTAAATAATTAATTACACGTGGTAATATGCGTGCACTAGATTTTCCGCCTGCATCCTTGCTCCTTTTTACTATAGAAGGCAACTTAAGTAGTAAAAACAAATAGCTTAAGGTAGTTTACGCAATATTTAAATTCGATTCTCTCTATTTTCAAAAAATTATAGGTTAATATATATGCGCTTTATTCGGGTCTAAGCTATTTTTGTCAACGTCTAGATATCCTTTATACATAGAAGAATTCTTTTCGGTGCTTACATTGAAGGGATTTAAATTATAATTACTTTTAAAATTAATCCAATTATCCCTTGGCAGCAGCTACTCTCCTAGTCAAGTCTTAATTTAACTAATACTTTAAGCATGTAAATTTTGTATGTTTCGGACAAATCATTTTAGAAAAGCAGTTCACTTACGTAAATTGAATTACTTCCCACTTTTCCGAAGGTTTAACTTTAATTACTATGTATGTCTGATTCCTTTATATAACAAAAACTTTTCTCGCGATTTCAACTTAAATAACCCATTCTTAGTGGTGTTAATGACTTGGGCAGGCCTCCTTAAAAATTTTCCTTTAACTTTATATATAGTCAAAAATAAAATAATAATATAACAATAAAAAGTGAATAGAAGTCTTTTTTAATAATAACAAATATGCAAACTTTAACATGCGTAACGTAATAATTGATTAGAAAAAAAACATAAACTAAAATGGTAAGGTGCGTAGACTAGGTTTCTCACTTGCACCCTTACGGTACACACGTAACGTAACCCGAAAATAGTTAGACCTATTCTAGCGTCAATTCCAGTTTAACTACAAGTTGACCTGGAAACCCCAGTGTGACTATTGTCAGCTTAAAGTACTTGGGAAGTCCGACTTTTAAATTAATGTGTAAAAAAACTGGATTTTTGGTTGGTTAATAAAAACCACTGAAACAATTTTTTGACATAATTTGTTACTGTAAGCTCGTTGAGTTGGTAGTAGTTGTGGAAAGTAATTTAAAAATGTGTAGATTTTTTGAGGGGTCTCAAAAATGACTGAGTTGACGAGGAGAGTCAATAAGAAATTTACAGGATGTTGCACAGTACTTAAGTCTATAATTTTTATTATGTCTATTAGTATTAAAGAAAAATTCATGACTCACTAGCCTCTCATTCTGGATTCTATTTCTTTTTACAGACGTGTTTTTTCTAAATTATACTTTATTTAAGTTATTTAAAGATTATCAAACTGCAAAAAAAAAGGTTTATGACTAAAAGTAGCAACAACTATGATTGTATCATTGACCTAGCCCTAATATTAGTATTCTACGAAATAATCAACTCTAAATAGGGGGCGTTTAAGATGCTTTTTTTGCCTCAACGAAGCTGTGTATACGATGGAAACACTTAAGTGCATGAATCTTACAACTTATGCCGGAGGCAAGCTATGAGTATTTCATGTTTTCGGTAGCGCTATAAAAACCATTTTACTTTAAAATATTAGATATTTTCCCTACTATAAATTGCTAGTTGTCGCCTCTAATCTTAATAACTTTTTCAGTAATTCAAGCAGTGATGTGTGATATTTTTTTTAACCCCGAAGATTGAAAACTAGTACCTAATTTAGCAGACACACGAGAAAAAATTTTTCCCTTCGTCGCAGAGGTGGGTTGTATATATTTATAATAAAGCGCCATATTACTTTTTTTCTTGTTTGTTCTTTTTTTACTCTCAGTTGTTCTGTATTTGTTCTTAAATTTAGTTTTTTATTCATAACTATTCTATTCCTTTCTTTTTATATATCTATTATTACCTGGTCTTTAGTTTGCTTTATGTATAACGGTTAATGGAATCCTATATTTTCATTATATACGTGATTATCAAGGCTAATATCAATTGTTTTGGAGTTATAATTATTTTCATAAAATTTTATAAACTTTATTTGGGTTATAACTATAGTCACCTTAACAATAAGTGCTAATAAAATGAGGTATATAAATGGAAAAAAAAAAAAAAAGTAAACAAATTAACTATGAGCAAAAATAATTAACAGAGCTAAGATCTTAGGGCAAGCATGGAGTTAATCACAACTATATCCACGCTGTGAACAGTCAGAAATAGAATTTAAGAAAAGATCGTAGAGAGGAACAGAACTCAGGAATTGAATGTAGAAGCAAAATTAAATTAAAGAGAAAATATACCATAGGCGCTTTATATAAATAAAGTAACAGAATCAGTCTCTTCACCCTAAGGTTAGAAGTCTTAAATATTTCTTTAAGCACCAAAAACGCAAATTATAAAATTAACATGCATTAATCGTCTGTAATATAATGATATTATAGGGGAGTATGCTAGATTAATGAGGCTTAAGACCTAATCCCAACCTTAACTTTCTTAACTTATATATACTATATTATATTATATTAAGGCACCTGCTAATGACAGAGTTTAAGTCAATAGATTATTTAATAGTTCTTTTTAGTTTATTAATTAACTTTATTATGTCACTGCAGAATTGGCAATATACTTCATTAATTATAAACATCCTTATCTCTATAAAACATTACTTTTCGAAGTCTATTTGTAGTATGTTTGTAGCATTTTTCAACATAACTTTCATAGTGCAAGCTCACTTTCTTTGGGGCTGGCCAGAAAATGATTATATAAAAGTGTGTTCGATCAATTTTAAAGACTAATAAATTAATAAACGCCCTGATAACTTTGGTTTAGTTGTACCTTGAAACTGCTTAAGTATACTACGAACTTTTTTTAATTTAGTAAAAGTCAGACAGTTTAATTATAATTAAAAAAAATCAAAAGTAGTGACGATAATAGCATATATAATGGCAACTTTTAGTTATATTACAAAATATACAAATTTATTAAAAGTGCTTAAATCAATTTCTTTTTGCTCTTAAAAGTCCTAGGTAGTAGAAATAAAAGATTACGAATTTCTTCAAAATCCTTATTATATATAATTGTAAGGTCCTCTTCACTTAAGTAATTCATAATAAGTCTCATAGGTATCGAATTTTCTAAAATATTTTTATGAAAAGCACTTTTTCCCATAATATCTTCAAGAGGAAAAAGTGTTTCCTTTAAATGGCTTTGAGCGAGAAGTTCACCAAAGAACCCATCATTTTTAGTTAATGTGTTCAAAATCCTATTATTAAGTTTTTCAAGCAAATTGTTTTTTGCAGCGCAAGCAAAGATGTAGTCAGTGAATTGTAACTCCTCATTAAGTGGTGACCGCTCTTTGTAAGGTAATTCTAGTAACAAGTTATTATCATCTACAAAGAAAGCTTTCCTTAAGGAATATGAAGTAGTTAACTTCTTCCGAAAGTCCATAAAAATGCCACCTGTCTCATACATAATTCCATGTTTACCTAAATGAAAGGCAGCTTCGGTATTAACTTTTTTAGCTACTTCATAATATTTTCCTAATTCAGATTCTAAGTAATTTTTAAAAAACTGCCCTTGTCTCAAATCTTTAACTGTTACTAATTTAAATGCCGGGCCGTTAAGTTCATGTCTGTATGCTTCAATTTCATTTCCTATATCGTGATATAGTATTGCTTTACAGTTTGTAATAGTATTCTTTGCGGTTTTGTACCAAGTTAAAAAATTTTCTATCATCTTAGTATCTTGTATTAAAAACACTAATATCTTTGGTACATGTTTTAGTTGGTCTCTTTGAGTAAAGATTTTAGGCAAAGTGGGAACAAATAATTTCTTAAATTTATGACCACCGACAATGGCTCCTCCTTTTTGGAAAGCGTTGTTCAACAGCAACTCCTCTTTAGATATCGGGGCCTCTATATTTAATATCCCACGCTGCCAAAAATATCTTCTCCAATTTCTAGATTTAATATCATATATAATTTTTAAATTCTTATCATTTATTTTTATTTGACAATCAAACCCTGGATTTACGGTAGAAATGAAAATATTGACGTTATCAATAGGTACCTCAACCGGGTACGAAGGAATATATTTATTAAAATCATCTAGGTCTTTAATCTCTGAAAGTTTTTTTTGAACAACTCTTATATTCATTTGCTGATCAAAAACTGCATACAAATCTGAATGTTTTAGTTCTACTATGTTTCCTTTAAAACTTCTGTAGAGATATAATTCCCTTACGTTATAATTAGTAGGGTATATAATATATTCTTTTTCGTCGACTTTAACGATCCACACATTAAACGTTTCCATTAATTGTCTACTTTCCAAATCTCTCGCTAAAGAAGGAAAAAATGAAGAATCCTGAAAAGAAAAATATTGTAGCCTTTTTTTTATTAAACCTGTAGCCCTAAGAGAGCCGAAGTATTCTTTAACTTTTTCATCAAATTCTTTATTGGACAACTTAATAAAGTTTCCGGCACCAAAAGACTTTGTTATGA